GTGTCCTACTCTGAGTGCTATCACTTGGCGTTTTAGGAAATGTTTGAATTTTATATCTGTGCTTGTATGCAGAATAAACCAATGACAAACTTCTACAGACAATATGAGATGAGGCATCACTGCCTAACGTTGGCTTCTGGAGAAGGGGGAAGACACTTGGGCACCTCAAGGGTCATATGTAAGGAATTACTATATTGACAGGAAGCTCAGACACAAATGTGCTTTGAGATAAACTTGGAGATATAGTAATTCAGTGTATAGGCTTAGGTGTATTCTTGGTGTGAGTACTCTGCGTGAAAGGAACACGTAATATAAGGGTCTTCTGCTGAGCCATTTGCAGCTGTGTATCAAGCAAAATTTATGCTGAATTAATACATAAACCTTGATGTCCATGTATAGACCAAAAATGAAAACTCCTCATCCCTCTTTGAGCAACCCATTCCAGTGTTCAATTGCCATTATAGCAGAAAAAAACAAAAGTTTAAGTAGAACTTCCTGGTTTTCAGTTTCTGGTCATTTCCTCATGCCCTTTCACTGGAGGCAACTGAAATAAGCCTTGACAAACCTTTTTCACTTCTTTCCATCAGGTATTTATACACATTGATAAAATGCCTCCTGATCCTTTTCTTCTCCAGGCCAAATAATCACAGAACTTGAGTTTTAAAATCGCAACTCCTACAGAAATGAGCTTGTGTAGAAACCGATTTTAAAAGAAAAACCCACAAAAAAAAACCCCAACAAACAAATCAAATAAACAAAAGGCCTTTACAGACTGAAATTTGAGGTTGAAATGTAAATCTGGACTAGGATATCTGACTGAAAAAAGCATGCACATTTGCAGTGCAGACAGCCTTGGGTTAGAAGCTATGCCTTCCAACAGTGAAAACAATCCTATATTGTGTCCCTTGAGAGCAGTGATAAAGTCTACTGACTTGACTACAGGTTTAAAGGAATGCTGAAAGCATAAAAAGAGAAAAGAAATAGAAGGAAGATTTCCTTTAAAGGAGACACATTAAGATCAATTCCTCTTGCTACACCACTAAAGAAATGAAATCAAGCATGACTTAGTAGGAATGAGAAAGGCAATACAGAGAAGATTCTGTAGGATTTAGTTCAATAAATTGAACTTCAACTGGTTATTGAAAGACAAGAAGAAATAATGAATGCTCACTCAAAGAATATTTTTGCTAAAGGTGAGACCTTCAAATTATGCAGAAACCAGGCACAATAGAAAGAGAGGACAGATAAAAAGTATTGCCAATATTTACAGGTCAATGCAGCTGAGCAGACACCATAAAGCTGCTGTCCTATATAGAAGAATTATTTCTTTCCAATAGCGTAAACTGTAGAACATTTAGTCCTGCAGAGACATAATAAAGCATTCTCCTGCCTCTTCGCTGTCTTCAAGGATTTTTCTAAATGGTTGTAAATAAATGCATCATAAAGTGCCTGTTACCAGGGGTAAATGGCCTACCCAGACTACGTTCAAAGCTAAAGAAACAATTGTTAACCTCACATCTTCAAACTCCAGCTTCAAGACTAACGGGTTAGACTGAACAGCACCGCAGACTTTAGACTGCCTTCCTTCTCTCTGAATTAGATACGAATAATCTCTTTAATTGTAAACTCCTGTTCCTGTGGGAGGATGTAGTGAGGCTCACAACATGCATTAATAAACGTATAAGGAGTGTTCACATACTAACTTCTTGAAGCTTGTAATTCTTCTTAGCCTATTTCTAGATGTAGGACAGACAGCTCTTTCAAGAAACTCAGGTCTAAAAAGTTATTTTACTGTGTGCTTACCAAGTAAACTTTATACAATTTGTCAGTATACTAGAGTAAGGCTGCAGTACAACCCCTGTAATGATTACTGGCCTCCATTTGCTCATATCCCCCAACAGTTCATGGTCCAGGATTTCCAGAATCAGAACAGGCTGGGCTTCTCTAGTACTCTACAGGAAAGTCACTTTGATTGCTTTCATCAGAGGTATACTGCCAATATGTCAAGTTGTCAACAGACTCTCACCAATAACTGACTCCAAGAGTCACTCTTGCCTCAGGAAAAATCCACTCCATTGGAGCTCCAGAACAAGGAAACCTTTATCTGCATCTGAGATAAAAGGAGTGTCTTCTTCAATGACAGAAAACTTGAGTACAGAAAAAATACCAGGAGAAACGTCTGCATCACCAAGCAAAGACTATAAATGTTGAAGATATTTCTCCTGTCTGAAAGAAAAGAGCTATCTACCCCAAAAAGTTGGCCCAACATGACTGTGTGTAGAAATAAGAAAGACACAGACTTCCAAACTCCTACACTCCACTTGAATTTTCCATTCCAAGTCACCACTTGCAGTCTCATAATCTGAAACAATACAGGCAGAATTTCATAGATCAGTCACCCACTTGTAGGTGATAAAAGTTTTAAGTAAAATGGTTCAGTACTAGAAAAAATTCTTGCCTCATTATGTAAAACACAATCTTATTTTTAGATTCCACCTTATGCTCCCTTGTGTTATGCTGCAATAGGCCTAAGCAGAAATTAATCCAGGTAAAAGGATCCAGACCTGCAGATTTCCATCCTGTGTTTTTGAATCATCTTTTTAGATTTCTTTTAAACAGCAAGTTCACAGAATGGAATGCTAAAGAGCAATGCTCCCATAAGACTTAGACTACAATTACGAGCAGTTTCTAGTGAGCGAAGAACGGGAGAACAGGAGCGCAGCAGCTTCTAAGCTTTCTGGATTTTAAACATTTAGTAGATATACAATATTTAAAGAGAAAAAACCCAAATAAACAAAACTAGAGGTTTTCTTTTTTTTATATACTTTATCATGTAAGGCAGCATTAAGCACCCTGAATAGATGAGTACTAGATCACAGAATCATAGTATGGTTTGAGTTGGAAGGAACCTTAAAAAACGTAGTTCCAACCCACCTGCCATCGGCAGGGTCCACTAGAACAGCTTGAACAGCTTCCTGTAAGTCCCATCCAACCTGGTCTTGGAGATGAAAGGTGGCTGTAAAAAACTGCCACATTACGGTATCTCAGCTTTGCCAGTCAGTGACAAAACATGCAGTGACAAATGCCCATTACAGTTTTCCCTCAGTAAAAGGTAAAACAGTGCCACCCGCTGTTTTTTCAGGGAATCCCGTGCTGCAGAAAGCTAAATTGGTACTTCGCAATTAGCCTTCCTCCCTCACTCCAAACACTGGGGGTTTCTACCAGCTGACACATCTACAGTGATATTTCAGTCACTAGTAAAGCTGCGCAAAAGAGAAAAGTCCTTTGAACTTGCTCAACTACAGCTGAAGCCTCAGGATAGCCAAAAGGCTGAATCACAGAAAAATGAGTGGTTTTTAAACTCTGGGAGCAGGAGTTTCTTTGACTTTACTTGTTAGCTTACACAGGCACTACTTGTATGCAATTCAGAGAGTCTCAAGCTGAAGACAATACCATATTGCACCAACTGTAAAGATTGTCATAGGGTCAGAATATCCAACCGGGTTTTTTTGTATCCTTCATTTTGTATCATCCCTTTATCACACCAGAGAACAAGTACTAACGACTCCCTTCTCAGCTAGGTCACAGGTCATACTCTATAATCAACATACCTACCCAGAAGTTTATCTTCTGTTCCTACACAGAACATTCATTTAATCCAAGGATCAGCAGCTATCAGGACTGGCAATAGCTAAGCATTGTCATGACAAAAAAGCACTTAAGGACTTTTTACTTCTCTTAAAAAGAAAACAGTACTTGTGCACATCTTACTTAGATTTTTCCTTGCTGGTGGAGTAAGTGGCAACACTTTCCAACATAGCAAAGTACCAACCAAATAAGACTCTACAAATAGTTTATTTTTCCTTAGCAAAATACTCTGTATGCCAGTTCACAACAGGGAGTGGGCTGCTGCTCATGCTGAAGTATTTCAACATGAGTCATGTATGATTCACTACTCCCTCTTTAAAAACAAACTACTTGACTATAAGAACTTTGGAAAACTCCAAAAAGATCAGTCGCAGTAGATGAAATTACATAAAATTCGAGGCACGTTTAATTACCTCAAAAACAGATACACTTTGTTGGTAGGAAAATATTGCTAAACAGTCCTTATATCCTAGCAGGGCCTATTACAATAGGGCAAGGGGTAATGCTTTTAAACTAAAAAAAGGTTGATTCAAGCTAGGTATAAGTTGTTTTTTTCACAATGAGGATGTTAAGAGGTTGCCCAGAAGGTGCCCCATACCTGGAAACATTCAAGGTCAGGATGGACAGGGCTCTGAGCAACCTGGTCTAGTTGAAGATGTCCTGGCCAATTGCCAGTGGCTTGGATTAAGTGACCTTCAAAGGTTCCTTCCAACCCAAGCTACTTTATGATTCTATGGTGTTTTATGAATCAAAGATCCTAGCAATGGTTTGGCCTCAGCTGTGCTCTACTGAAAACACTCATAGGACATCTAAGTATCAGAAATGAAAATTCCAAGATGTCTGCAGCTGACATCAAGGACCCAACCTAAAGGTAAAACTGTAGAGTCCAAATGTGTTAGAGAATTCTCTCAATGGTTCTGAAGGTGGCAGCTAAAAAATAAGCATGCATGTTCATAACACAATTTTCAGAAGCTAGTTTCAGGATGTTTATACTACTGCCTAATGTCTAAAAATTTCCCATGCTGTGTAACTAAATTGCCAACTGTTCACTTTAAGAAACACTTTCTATTCTGAGCACACTATCTCCTTCAAATGAGTTAGCACTTAAGTCTTCTCAGGCACAAAATCAGAACTTTTGCACTGGTGCAGAGTATCAAGACAGCTGTTTCCTAGTTATAGGTTCAGATGGTCACATGAATTCGTACTTTGCTGTGACAGTTCAATACAGACCTGTGGATCTGCTGGAACAAAGAACTCATAGGACTTTGAATTAGTGCAATATGCTTTTAACAGTAAATACACAAAAGACATTAAGGTATTCTACACATTTATTTGTCAGTGTACATTAGCATACATTTAAAATACAAGAAATAAGGCCAAAATAACATAAAAATACGTATATAGTGCTTGCTAGACACATACTTGACTTAAAACCAAGGCATATTCTAGCTCATACTTGAAAGAGCTACAATGAAGTTAGGTACATACAAAGGAGTATTTGTTTAATGATTTACAACTCTTTTGGTCTGTTTAGTAGAAAACGAACCAACTGAAGCAGAACTTCATCATTAAAGCCTTTCACATTACCATCTTCCACAACATCATACAGTGGCTTACTGTCTGTACCCCAACAGATATTCTTTCGAGGGTTATTTTTGATAGTTTCTGCAGTTAGTGCTAAAGTGTTTAGCTGGTAACAAAAGAAAGCAAAGTATTTTCCATCAGTCACTACGGCCTGTGATACAAAAGGACGAGTCACATCTGCTTCACTCCAGAATCCTACAAAATAAAATAATACCACTAGTTAAACAAGACTTGAAATTTTTCTGAGCACACACATCTAAACCCCAGTCCTGAAATACGGAAAAACACTGGGAATTGCGGCAGCTGCTTAGCAGGAAAAAGTCCTGTCTGCTTTAGCAACACAATGGCCAATAAAGGGGATGTCCAACATCAGGGACACAGTGGCATAGTTGCATTTTGTACACGGTTCCCTATCACTAATTGAAAAAACCCACCCACTGACTAGCCAAGTAACTTTTCCAAATCAGTCAAGTTACTAATGCATCCAAAGTCCTGCAAGTGAGCTGAGTGATAATGCCTTACACCTATTCCATGGTCCTCAGGAGGCAGTGAACATTTGTTTCGTGACAGAAACCCACACATAGGCATGAGCATAACTGACTATAATAACCAGCAGGGCACCAGGAACACTATGTCAGTAAGTATTAATGCTTCAAACAATCCCCACCGAGCATTAATACTATTTTTAAAATATTTAATTCACATATTTATGCAGGTGCACTAGCACACAGTAATATTCTTTAAAAGTATTTGTACCTTGTGAAATGATCAATACTAGAACCTGCCACAGAAGAAAAAAAAGTCACACTGCCCTTATAACTCATGATGTGCTTACAGCTGTACCTGGCTTTGAAGACAAGATTTACTTGACTTCAACATTTTAGGCCCATGAAGTAAGTCAAGCTTTCTAACATACTGTTACATAAAATTTTGATGCACAGCCAGCACTATACATCACAGTAGGATGAATCAAAGGATTTTCTTACATGTGTTGTCTCTCAAGTGAAACTACACATGACCAGGTATCTTACAGTAACACTAGGCAACAACTGTATTTACAAGAATAAGAAAAAGACTGATCTGGTCTATCCATCCAGGTCTTCTGGGACTTTCAGACAAATGTAGGCATAAAAGCTTACACTAAGGCTGCTGACATTTTATTTCCACTGACTGTAGTTTCACCGAATTGAAAGTACTGAAACAAGGGGCTAAGCAATACAGCTGTTTAAGAGAGAAAAAAACCCTGATTGATACCTACTGGATCTCCCTGTAACTATGCAACTGAATGCAGGATTGAGGTTTTTTCACAGGCTTAGTGTTACATGCTACATATGAAAAAATATTTTCTGGAATTAATTCCCACTGAATCAAAGTACTCAAAGTCTTAACTAACTCCCTTGTATAAGGTCTGCTTCATTCATTAGTTCAATTAAATCTGTAAAGACCTACTTAGAAGATGGTCTTCAGAAGAAAAAGCATGAGAAAAAGGTGGTGGGGAGAAAAGGTTAAAGAACTTTAGAGCGGACAGTCGCAACAAGGAAGAATTTGTCAAGTTCACTGTCTCACCTTGATACATTGCTTGTGCTGCTGTCCAGGCAAAGAGACTTGCAATACCATTTGACCGATTAACAACTTCAATCTGATCCTCCAGACGTGCTCTTATAAGCCTCTCTCGTTTCAGTCTATCAGGAATAAGATGAAACTGGGTATGTCCATAACAGCATGGATCTGCAACCTTAGATCCTGTGTTCCCCAAAATGAGACAAAAGTAAGAATCAGTGAATACTCTTCATTATGCACACACTATCAGACTCTACAAAACATAAGGTTAGAACCTGTACTGTAGACCTGTATAAACATTGAGATTCCTCCATTTCTGGAGGAGACTGGAGGGGTTGTCCACCTCCAAAAGCCAAGAGTTCACACTAAAGTGTCTCTGAGGAGATCTATCAAAATTCAAAGACAGCCTTGTGACAATTTTCTATTCAACTCAACTCCTTCAAGCAAATCTGTACACAGCACTACACACACAGCAGGATGCTACTCCCCACTGCCTGACATGAAACCTCAATAGATATTTATATACTACATATATTTATACAGTATAGCTACACATAAAAATACAGAGCTTTCCTTCTGTTGATGGGAGAAGAAAGAGCAAGGTGGTGTTTGCTTTGGGGCTGGTTTTTGCTGTTGGGCTTTTTTACAAAAAAGAAGAGGTTAACATTTCATCATTAGAAACTCTCACCTATAAACACCTTATTTTCATACTGCTTTTTGAACAATGGCAGTTTCGATGGTTTATGGTCAATAACAGGAACATCTCCAAGATCTGACTCCAGGGGTACAACCTTGAAGGCAACAGAAGAAAGAAAAGCCATGACATAAGTCACATTTCTGACATCAGGCCGCACATTATACAACACTTTCTGGTCAGACAACAGAACATGCAAATCTTGCTTACATACACCATATAGATAACCTCAACTGAAATTCATGTTTTTGCAACAGAACTTCTCATCTTGTGGTGTTAGCACAGTCATACTGAAGTCTGATTTTTCTGCAACATACAAAAAACATTATGTGAAATGCTGCTAACAAACCTTCCAGTTTGTACTATCTTCAAAGCCAGAACTTGCTTCCAAAGGAAAAGAGCAAAAACATTCCTAGCAGTAGTCGATAAACTGACTTGAACTGGCAGAGAGAGTTCAGAGTCTGTGTTCTGCGCTACATAACATTTTTAATTGCCGAGACAGTTCTTCCAAAATGCCAAGGCTTGTAGCATCTGACAACACTAACCTAAGCAAATTGTACAACTATGCTAGCATTAAAGGTTCTGTGTTTACAGAAAGCAGAGTAGCATTCTGTTTGTGGTGGAAACCAGGCAGAGACCTTCGCTGGCGACACAATTACCATTGTACAACACTGCAAGAAAAGCATTAGACTGCTGAAACAGAATATAGCTCCAGAAAATTGAGCATTAGAAAATAACTATTAAAGAGTACCAAAAAGCAACAGAGCTCACGATCAGATTACATGTGCTCTCTCTTACTCTTTTCTTCTCCACTCCTCTAATCTTAGTCTTCTCCACTGAGAATGTTCCACAACACATTTCCTATTCTTGTCTCCAAGTATAAGATGTTAAAAACTTAATTAAATGTAGTAACATGCAATTAAAAGTTCAAGTAGAACAAACTTGAGACAGCCTTCTGAACTTCAGTATCTACAAAGCAGGCACCACAGGTAGTAAGAAGCTTGAAAAATGCACACATGTGCCACATGCCTGATTAACCAGGTCCTCCACATACTGCCTATTACATGGTTTCCATGGCTGTCAGAAGCAGAAGTGAAAAAGCATGTTATTAACTTGCTGCTGAAAACATCCAGACCTCAGGAAGCTGCTTGGGTACACGAATCTGGAGGTGTGGCTTATCATCGATCTGAAATCGCACGGGATCAACTCTCCCCTTTCGATATCCATGAACAACAACTTCCTCACCATGATGCCAGTAATAGTTAACCTCAGGGTTTAGATCTGAAATAGAACAGAGGAACAGAGAAAGAGTCATTGCTCTCTTGCATTCAAAACCCTTCCAATTCTTGGTCTCTCGCGGCAAACACAAAAATCAAAATCTACAGAACAAAGAAGATAAATTAGTGACGGTCTGAACGACTCAGCGACACTCCTGCTCACAGCCTGGCCCCACCACCCAAGGACTTCCGCGCTCCTTTCCCTCCCACCCCCATTCCGCACCCAGGGAGGAGGCAGCCAGCAGCGGGTTGTGACCCGACAGGAACGCGGCGAGCGTGGAAACGAGCTGCGTGAGGAACGGGCCGGGAGTGTGATCCTGGTCGCGGTAGAGGAACGGCCTCTTCTT